CCAAGGTGCTTTGTTCCTTGGTTCTTCCCAGTGGCTGCCTCCTGCTTGCTAGATAATGTTGCATTAAGTAGTTTCATGCTCAAAGCCTCTTCTCAAGTTTGTCCAATCTTTTCTAGCCATATTTAAATGAACGATCACCAATGTTTATGGACTTCTGACCACACATGATTAAAGCACTGTAAACTGCTTATCTCAGTGCTCGTCACAGCCCTCAGTGGAGTGCTATAATCATTTCCTCTTTAAAATGGGCAAGTGAGACTTGTCCAAGATCATAATAACTAGCTCGTGGCAACACCCTTAGCACATCCTATATTCTAAAGCATACCATGTTATTTTCGTCTGTACTGAGTGTTCTGCTCACTGATCTCTGAACAGACTTACAGCTGCCTGCCTTGATCTAGTCCTCCTGAGTTCTACCCTTACTCAAGGCTAGTTCAAACCCTACCTTCTCCCTGAAGCCTTCCTCGAATATTCAGTTCACAGTGCTCCCACCTTCTGAAACTTAATAGCCCATCTGGCTCTACAACGTATTGGTACTTTTCAGATTCTGCCTCATAGTGTCAGAGCGGGTAACTTATTTTAATGTGTATTTCTCAAATCACCAATTGGACTGTATGGCAGGCGTCAACAACATTTTTCTGTACAGAGCCAGATAGTAAATACTTTAGGCTTATAGGCCATAATGTCTCTGCTGTTCAACTCTGAACCCAATTCTACTGTTTAGCACAAAAACAGCCATAGACAATATCCAATGCATGAATGAAGCTATGTTCCAATAAAACTTTATTTATGGACATTGAAATTTGAGTTGTATATCATTTTCATGGTCATGAAATATAGTTCTTTCAATTTGTTTAAAACATTGGAAATATGTATCACTCATTTTTAGCTCATGGTCCATACAAAAATAGGCAGTAGGCTGTACTGACCCAAGGGCTAGTGCTTTGCTGAGCCCTGCTGTAGACTGGTCCTATCTATTTCATCTATTGCCCTCACTGGCTAGTAGTGGGGCCTATGAAAATAATATAGGTTTTGGAGTAGCCCAAGTCTGAACTCAAGTTCCAGCTCAATATTACATTGTACTTAGCAATAACAGATATGTAATAACTGTTGGCTTCATGCCCCTTGTAAGCCATATTTTTTATTGGCATCCCTTAGTTTTTATCTTAATTCCATCTTATCCCAATAATTCAGTTTTCTCAAGTGACTCACTAGGGAACAGGGGTAGTTGTTTGGGTAAATATTGGTGTTTTCTACCATTGAGCCTCACTGGGGAGAATATAGGATTTAGAAGTCCCACTGCAAATAGGTAAGTCTTTGCCCCAACTGTACCTGACCTACAAATTGAGACTCCAGTTCTTAATCACCCAGGAAAGATGGTTGCATATGCTTAAATCCTACTTACTTCTCCCAAAATAAGTTACACTACATTTTGAAATTTATATATTTTCATAACCATTGCCTTTGTTTTTCCATTACATTTTTTTTATTCTCATAAAAATGCTTTAATACAGGTATGATTGTCTTGGTTTTATAGTTGAGAGAGGTAAAGTGATTGATGTGCAGAAGGTACCACATAGAATGAGCTTTGAACTCTGAGCTGGAATGTGGGAGGGCAATCTTCTTTCCATCACTAAATTCCTGATGGACCACAGTACATGTCCCAGAAGTCATATCTACAATTTCATTCCTCAGCGTGCCTTGTTTAAAAAATTCATTATGCTAAATATAATATTTGGGCTCCAGAGTAGTTTCTGGTTTGCAAACTTGAAAACTCATTGGGCTCACCAGGCAGATACTTAAAAGGTAGCAATGCCTGGGCACCATCTTCAAACAATTAAATCGGAAACTCCAGAGGTGGGCTTATGTAGCTTAACAAGCTTCCCACCCAGGTGATTCTGATGTGCAGCTAGGGCTGAGAACCACCGGGCCGTAGTAGGTTCACAGGCTCCCTTTGGAGCAGCGAGTGGGTGGTGGTTTCTGAAACTTTCTCCTGGTTGACTTGATGCTAGACACCGACTTTATCCTCTGGCCTCTCTGTGCCCGGGTTAGTCAGCACGCACCTTCTCATGGTTACCAGCTTCCAACCCCATGACTGGCCCAGCCCCAGGAATCTTCTCTAGCTCCCCAAGGGAACTTCCAAAATGTGTTGGTCTTGAGGTGTAGGGTAAACTATTTTTAAAATTGCCTTCCACAAACAGGTAAGTTACTGCTCCTAAAGACGTTAAATCATCTTTAAAACGCACAGCTAGGATTGTAGTTAAATCCTCGGGGGTGTGCAGGGGAGGGAGCAGGAACAATGTGTGTAGCTTGAAGCCAGTTTAAATGACATACGAATGTTGTTATATAAAAACCTTTCCAATTTATAGTCAAAAATTTTCAGATTCCAAAAATTCCATGACATTTTCATGCTAAGTGATAAATATGATAACATGCTGAGATGGTGTTGGCCATGTCTTTTATTACCTCTGCATGTCTCTTTTTTGGAAGGTGACAGCCAGCAGGAATAGAACAAATTTTCTGAAAATGTACTTTGGCTCTAAAGGCTTTAAACTTTTTTTTTTCCTCAAATGACCCTTAAAATTGGTTTAGCTCCTTAGTGAAACCAGCAATCATTGTAGTATTAAAACACCATTAGGTCAGAGTAATAAGATGGGGATAATATCCTGGCAAGCTACTTTACAGAGTTGGTTTAAGGATAAGAAGAATATATAAGTATATTGAGTTCCTAAGAAGGAAAACCTCAAAACACACTTGTCTATCATTAAAATGTTTTAAGTTCTTTATAAAAATAACATATTATTTCTCAAATTACAGAGGACTCTAACAGTGAAGGGGGGAAAAAAGATTGTCTTTTCCAAAATAGATTTTTCCACTATTTCTGAACCAAATGACTTTGAAAGGCTTCATCACTTTCTCTCATTTTAAGATTATTGAAGGGAAAGTGCTCACAACATATTTCACAATTAGGTACTACTAGACACAAGTTCTCTGCTGAGTCTTAATCAAGTGCCAGATTCACCAGTTAATTACTGTGTTTAAGTAGAACAGCATTTTTATCAACTAAATTGAAAAAGCATTTTAGGAGGAATCAGTAGGAGGAATCAACAATAATTTTGGTAAGGGAGTAATAGTAAGTATCAGTGTCTGACTTTGCATGGTGGATTCTAGTGTGCAGAGCACTTCCATTTATAATTTACCACTGAGTTTCCATAGCTACCCTGTGAAGTAGAGGTAAGTCCCTTTACAAAGAGGGAAACCAAGTCTTTGAAAGGCTGAAACAGATTGAAATTGGACCTGGGACCTTTCCTCAGGTTTTACATCAAATCCTCCCTTCACAGAGAACTTGCTGCAGCAGTTAAGAGTGTAGACTCTAAGACTGCCCAGGTTTCAAATCCTCATTCTGTTACTTTGTAACCTTGTACAATTCATTTTACCTTGCTGTACTGCCATCTGTTTAGATAGAGACAAAAGTGTCCACACTTCATATGATTATTACAAGGATAAAAGGTGAAAATGTACATAATTGCATGAAATAGATTTTCACTTATGATCCTTGTTCTTTTGCTTTATTTCTTGTGAAAGTAAAAGTAGGTAGGAAGAAAAACCACCTAAAAACTGACCATTTTGATGATCAGTTTGTAACAAGACATCAGATCTAGGTGTCTTCCTCTAACACCTAGAAGATGGAAACTATTTGTATTCTTAGCAACAGAAGTTTCCAGATCTTCCTGGGCCCATTTCCAACCAGCCTGGGTTAGTTTGCAGGCACTGGCAGGACCAGGTGACCTCCCTGGACAGGCAGAGTCACTCTGAATGACATGACATTTCACCTAAGAAGATCTCTTATTTTCAACCCTTTTGGACTGGCATAAGGGCTTAGCGCAAGGGTGCCCAGATCTGCTCACGTCCTCACAGGCTCAGCTCATAACTTCTAACCTGTCTCTCGCAAGCCTGGGTTTTCATCAGGTCAGTTTGGACGGCCAAGCCTGCACCTGCCCAGATGACAGGTGAATGATCCAAGCCTCAAGGGGGCTTAAATGTCATCACCCTGGCTGAGCCTTTGCAATCATCTGACTCAGTGACATGGCACTGAGAAACACAACCACCCAGGAAAAAGAAAATAAAAACCAAACCAACCAACACCCACAGGGGGAAAATTCCCTCTGAGTTCAGCGCCTAAAACCCAAACAGCTGCTACCTCCCAGGCTGAACCACTGACAAAATGCACATGGGAGTTTGGTGGATGGGGGAGGAATAATAAGCCAATTAAAAAGAATCATTAACTTGAAAGTCACTGTTAAACTTATTTGCTTTACTACCTTCATCATTAATATTTTGCTAAAGCTCATTAAATTTTTTTTTCCCAAATAAGGTTTAAAAGGAAAGCAGCAGATCCAAACAAGCAGTTCTTAACTTTAGGTAGATGTGGTACTGAATTTTGCTATCACATGGGGGTGGGAAGGAATCCCAGGAAAGAAACAGAGGTGCTTTGAATTCCTCCAGTTTTGTGGCTTAAACCAAGAATGCCCTGGAGTCACCCAGAGGCAGCTGAAGCAGGACAAGAGGACAGTGAGAATGATCAGAGGTGCAGAAGGTTTTTAAAACAAGCTAAAGTGCTTTAGGGCTGGCTTCCTGCTGAGTTCTCTCTTGCTGGTGTTTCAGCCAGGGCCTGTGCTGCCTGTAACATGTTCCCATCTCTCCACGGGGTGGGCCCTGAAGCGGCTTGGAGTGAAATTTCACTTGAGGGGACTGACTCACTAATTCCCTGAGGCGTCATGGCAACCTTTGTCTGTCCCGCCCAACCTTGGGCATATCATAACAGTACACACCTAAGAACTTGAAGTAGGGAAGAGGGAGGTTGCAGAATCTGTTTTCTGCTCGACTCTAAATTCTCAGGTTCCTCAAAAGTTATTTTTTGGGGAATTACTTCAAGACAACCCAAAGAGATGATCTGACTTAAGAGATTTGGGGCCAGACTTTGGGCACTTGAGACTTACCCGCACTACGTAGTTAAATCTTCTGGAATCCAGAATGGCAGTTGAAAAGTCCAATCTGTTGAAAGCTTCCCCCAAAGTGCAATATCCATGGCGCTGAGCGTGAAAAAAGAGGCACAGAAGTTACTCCTGCCACGCAGAGGTCACCCAAGTTAGAATCCAGTTAGAACAATCCAGCTGGACCAATCCAACCGGACTCTGCTGAACAAGCTTGATGTCCATTTCAGGTAACCTGGGGCCACTGGCTTCTTTCCTGCATTCATGAATCCCTGTGAGCCACCAAGATGGGTAGTGCAGCCAGCAGCTGCCCGAGTTAGAGACTCACATGTTAAATACTCTTTTGCATGACTTGTACCATTTGGACCCTTGCTCTCTGCACACACTGCTCTGGGAAAATCATTAGTTCCTTATCAAGGAAAGACTGGAAGCTAGCTGGGTATATGATGTCAAATGTCAAGGTGGTTTGTGACTGTACCATACTCCTGAGAGGAGAATTAGACCTACCTGCATCAACAATGCACCGATAGTGCTTTACTCATTGTGATGATTAAAAGTGTTTTTAAGGCTTTGTGAGGAAACAAAACAAATTTTGATCTTTTATCTGTGAATGTACTTGGAGTTGGGAGTGGAGAGCTCCTGGCTCCTACTTGCTGCTCTGCCGCGAGTATCTGGGGAGTCTTGGGTATGTTACCAGGACTCACATCACAGAGGGAACTAGATGTTCTCCGAGGTCCCTGACAGTGATAGAAATGCTATCATTCTATCATTCCGCCTGTATCCTGGTTATCTGAGCAAATGCCTATGCAGGGAGAAATGTACATAGAAGGGCCATACAAATGTAGTTATCACAATGTCCTGTATCTTCCTGCGTCATGTTGAGCAGGCACTGAAAACTTCCCCTAGGGTTAATGATTAAAGAGATCTTAGAACAAAAGGGAGGTTCTGTCCTGAGGCAAAATCTAGGATAATAATACAGTTGAGATGGGCATATTAGTCTTCACAAAGCACTTTTATATACATAATCTCACTGAATGACTGGGAGTCCACCTAGTAACTTGCCTCTTTCTCTCTCTGTAGCCCCAAACTACAATGGTAGCTAGGGAGTAGGTTGCCAGCCACCACCACTGCCCACACCCAAAAAGACAGTTGTGATTTGAAGTGACACTTTGTTTTTCCTCAATTTCCTTCATATTGAAGTGATGCTTTTGCCCAATTTCCCCCTACCCTACCAGGGAGGCATAAGGTGAAATGTAACCGTTTAATAAATGGATGGATGCTCACCTCTTTAGTACTTCCTTTGTGGACATAGATCCATTTTTCTTGGTGGAAATCTACAGAGACCAAAAAATACACCATTTTAAGGTTTATAATGTGTCCAAGATTTTAAACATTTCACTTCATTTATATCAAAGTTGAAAAACTTTTGACAAAAAATACAAAGACTCTACTGACAATTTAAGAGGATACAAATGCTTTCTTTCTGCAGTGTATAAATACTGGAGCTATAATTTGCTTTGCCTGAAACACTCTAAATCTGCAACAGTAAGATTTCATATATTAAAGCTCCAAAATTAAAAAAATCTAATACCCAAGTACAAGTGTGTTTTAAATGCTAAACCTAAAACTTATACAAAGTCATAAAAAGTAGAAATAAAACAGATAACATGAGGAAACCATAGAGTATAGATTAAATGAAAATAATCTAGAATTCATGTTTATTAATAGAAATTTATATTCTCTGCTAATACTTACATATAGCATCTAAAAATGTAACAGTATTTATACAAGGAAAGAGGGGGGAGAAAATCTATTTCTAAAGCCTCAAACAGTACAAAATGTAAGCACACCCTGGAATTGATTCAGCTGCCCATGTCACTGTATAATAACTATATTACCTATGTCAAATACAAGTGACAAACAGGAAACAAAGACCTCAACTAGCAAATAATTTATAAACAAGACTATAAAGAACACATTAATCTCACTTGTAAAATGCACAGCTAGGTTTCTGAGTACAAAGATCCTATTGACCTCTGTCAGTGACACAGTGAAGTATTAAGGCAGATGTCTAACATGGGAGGTGTGATCCCTCCCCTCCCCCCTCCCCTGCCAAGAACCAATCATAACCATCTTCAAATAGCTTTTTTTTAAGGTTCAAAACAAACAGCTTACACTGAGTTTTGGTTTTGCTGTTCAGTATGTCCTTCTTTCTCTTCTTGGCTGCAACATCATAGTTCAGGCTGTTGAAAAGATTCTCCTTATTGTACACCTCCTTGTTGCAGTAACTATGAATAACAGAAGAGAGGATGAGATGTAACAGCTATACTTTAATGTGAGCTGCTTCTATAAATAACTTATTGGGTTATAAAACAAACAAACATCCATGCTGCTCAAACAAAATAAAACAATAAAATAATCACTCAAAAAAAAAAAAAGTCTATACAGGCACAGACTTCTTTCTTTGAGGACGAAATATTGTCACATCTGTGTGGAAGGCAGGGATGGGGGCTTCTGCTTCTTTTGAATTCTCTAACAGTGCCTGCCATTGTAATTTGATACACAGCACTGTCCTCTTTAAGAGCAATGTAGGGTACCACAATAATACTTTAAGCAAAAATGATGAATGGGGGGAGGAGTGGTTACTTGTATCACTGTAACACAATGCCTTCATTTTGCAAAAGCATCTACCCCAAGCTGCTGCTGCAGCTTTTTTTTTTAACCCCAGTTTTATTGAGATATACTTCACATACCATACAATTCACCCATTTAAAATATACCCAAGCTGCTTTTAACTCACATGCTACTATCATGTCTTTAAAACATGATCACGTTTAAAAAAATCTGACTTAGAAGCTCCGTTTCTAGATGTTTAGTATATAGTGCTAGTTGCTTAGGTTTCATGTAGTTCCTTGACTAACACTAGGCATTATGCTGTGACTTTGGGTCCTCACTGAAACAAGGTGAATTCTTAATTCACAAATTTATTATGTAAGGGCTGAACAGACATTGAATGTACCTATTTAATTCACAGGTCTTTGAAGGATGGGCAGGTTTAACTTGGGTATATATTTCCCAAGGCTAAGCTATTTGAGGGGCTGATGAGCTATTCTACTACACCGTGTAACAACTTCAGAGTAAATCCGAATAGTTTCTGCAGAATGAATACAGGAGGAATATAGAGGTATAATGAGAAGATAGGTTCCTCAACTCCCTCAACCCCCATGGGGTATGTAAGGCAGGATTTATAATGCCAACCAGTATAACATAAATTAGAGGGTTTTTGCTATGTCACCAATATATTATGCTCCTTTAACTTTCTGAGTTCCTCTGCTGAATTTAAAATGTGATTTAATTTGTATCTTTTTTGGACAAATTGGGTAAAATAATATACACCTGTACTTCTATATTCCCTTGGCATTGTGTGAATGATAGAAGAGAAAAGAGGGTTTGAAGCGATTTCCAGTATCTTTTTGTTACACTAGGCTCTTAAGTAGTACTTTAATTATTAATAGTATAATAAATATCTTGTTAAAATGCTCACACATGACATCACCAACAATATACTCAGTGTTGCTTTTCTGGACCTATTGGGATAAACTTGATGAATAATCAATCATTGGTTAATCTTCTTTCGTAAAGCTATGCTTAATACCATTTATTAAGTTTTATAAATTTAGGCTTCTCCTTTCCATTCTGGGAAGCAGGATATTTTCAGGTTGCAGTGAGAATACTACAGAAACGTCCTCTCTCAGAGCCACTTTCTTAAGCCAATGGTGAATGTTTGGGGCCAGGCTCTGTGTAACACATAGGTGTATATTTGTCTACTTGCATGACTATTGATGCACAAAATCGCCTATCAGCCCATCTGCTCCAAGGTCAGCACAAAGAGAGTGGTGGAACAAAGAACAGAACTCTGAGTCCCTGAGGCTAACTTAAGAAATTTCAATCAAAGTTGAGAAAAAGAAAAAAAAGATGGGAGGTCACTTCAGTGGTCCATAATGTACCAAAGCTGAGAACAGCTTTAGAAAGCAAAGCTAGAACATTTTGTGTGCAAAAACCATATGAAGGCTTATTTTTAAACACATACCACTAAAATGACAAAAACCTACAGTATAAATTCCACATATAGAGAACCATAAAATGAAGCTGTCTTATTCTTAATTACACATTTCAAGTTCAACAGAAAAATTTCAGAGCCTGGGCCATAGATAGTGACCATCACTTAGAAATTTTAAATATTTGTATTTCATCTTATTCTTTTCTAATTGAAAACATTCTTCAAAGGAATCTGAGCACTTGCTTTCCTCACAGAAGCTACAATAACCTGCTTTCAGCCCAAGTGACTCATTTCAAAAGCTAGTTTAAGAACCATTTTACATAATTGATGATGCTCTCTCACTGTAGAATTAGAAAAGTTTTAACCAAAAAGAAACCCTATACTTTTCGTTTGGTATTAGGTTTTGGATTCTGGAGGTAGGGCCTGGAACAGTCTACGGGGTTTATTTGTGTTGCCTACTTATATGTGTTCTTTTGAGCAGTAATATATTCAGTTAGAGGCTATTTTGAGAGTTCAATTGCATCCATTTCAAGGAAATGCAAAGCCAATGGAAAATTACAACTGAAATTTTAAATTAGAAAAACCACCACCATTTAGGAATTGCAGCATTTTTTTTTTAAATAAGCAAAACCATCTCATCGAGGCTGCTTTATTCACTAAATTGAATAATAGCCAGCAAGTTGCTATTTTATAGTCACTTCTTACTAATCTTGATTTTTATAGGCACAGGCCTAGAATAAGAAAAGACCTCTTCCCCCCAGCCTCATGCTACCACATACCAAGATACTTTAAGACAACTTTAGAAAAGGTGGAAAGATTTCAAAATAAGACCATAAATGAGACTATTTTGGCAGCAGATAAAGGAGGGAATGAAAAAAAAAAAGCCCTATTTCTCATTTCATTTGCGATAAAAACCATTTAAGAAAGCAGTGACCTGCCAAAAGGCTTAGTTGTAGTTATATAGACTTGATTAAAGCCAGTGGGATTTCTATGCTAATTTCCTCTAATACACATCCAGATCACCAAACTCACAAGGCTAGTACCCTGAATGCTCTGGTGAAACAAACAACCTAGTGTATAAAACTCATAGAATAGTATCTTGCACACAGTAAGCACTCATAAAATCTTAACTATTATTTTTGTCTAGGGCACCAAGGTAAACTTCCTGCTTCCTGGTCCAGCTTTAGCTATATAGTAAAGCAACATTCGAGGGAGTTTTTGACTACATACGTGTAGGCTTAGAGAAGACTGGCCAAGTTTCAGATAGTTCAGGTTACTCATCCCGGAGGTGGGGCGGGGAGGGGGTTGTTATGCCCAGTGCCTCAACCACCACTTCCTTGAAGTATTCTTAGATCATCCCAGTTCAAGCTGAACTCTTTCCTTGGATTCTTGATCTGCGCCACCATATTTAACACTTGCCATTCCCCTTCTATTATATATAATGACAACGTTTTGAGAGGGGGGTCCCGCTTTAAGCTTATCTTAAGTCCTCCTACGATCTCAGTCCTGGACACTATTTTTTTTTTAACATTCTGCTTTTGGAAGAGGACAGGGTCCTGGACCACAGATGGAATGGCCAGCAGAGTCCAGAGTTGGTGTGTGTGCAGACAAGCGTCAGTCAACACTAAACAATAACTCCAGGCTGAAAACCACCAAATGCCCCCTCCATCCCTCTCTTTTGTTTGGGCAGCTCACAGAATGGTACAGGGTATGAGAAAGTAAGTCTACCATGCTTCTGTAGTCCTCTGTTTAACTTACTAACCCCCGCCCCCGCACCCCTTCTTTAAGAGCCTGCCTTTTGTTTTCCTGTAACAGGAGAGGCATTTAACTTTACCTGTGTGGGCAGGCACTCAGCCCAAACCTGACATCACAGAGAAATGTCACCAAGACCGAAAACAGTGGGGATATTTGAGATTACAAACCTAGACCTCAGAAGGCCAACTACCTTTAAGAAGTTGGCAGACTTCTTATGCTAAGTAGGGAAGGGACTGTTTACAATTACTGGGGAAAAAAATGCCCTGCAAACAAGAAGCCAGCTGCTTTGCCAGGTGGCTACCAAAAGATTCCTAAACTCTGACTCAAAGGACCACAGGTGCTTGCTGATCACTATTTGTGGTAGTGATGATGAGTGTGACAGCTCCAGCTCAGGTGTAAAATGGAAGGAAAGAAAAGAGGCTCATCAGGGGGATATGGGGGGAGGAAGCTACCTGATCCCATCCTAGTCTAAACCTCTGTGGTAAGTTAAAACCATTCGCAGGCCTTCCATACTGTGGTGAGAGAGATACCACTATTTATTTCTAAAGGAGAGTTATACCAGTTTATCTCCTGGAGCCGCTATAGGGTGGGTATTAATACAGCTCTTCATTTCAAATCCTCTCCTGTTGAACCCAGTCCTCTGCTCCCCACTGAGGAGCACCCTACAATTTTATTTGGGAGAGCCACTGTGACACTGCTCATCAGACCATTGCTGTACCTACCTAGAAAGAATCTGAACTTTTATACAGAAATAAAGTACCAAAATTTTAGATCATCGTTCCTTAGGAACAAGGAGGAAGGAAGCTTCTCATTTTGTTAAAGGAGAATAATTTAGGCATAATTGGCAACTAGAGTCACTAAGAGATATAGTCTGGCAAGAGCAGTTGGTCTTTTTATCTTTCTGTAAATAAATTATCTGATTATCTGTAAATAAGAATTCTTTATAGTGCTCCCAAAATTCCCCTGGGACTGCCTCCAAGTATGTCTAACATAAAGGTTAACATGCTCCTGTCCCTTCTGACAGACCCCAGGATTAAATAATTTCTTTCTTTTCATTGGAGACAAAGGGAATTTGATGCATTACAAACTAGAAACAAATGGAGGTTCTAGAGGTCAAGCTGCCAAAATAACCATATTTTCTTGATAGTTTTCTTCAAATTTATTGCCAAGGCTTCATGCAAACAACCACTGGTAAATCTCAGTAAGTGGGAACCCGGCCCAGGCACAGAACTCTCCGCTGAAGTCAATTTAAGGGTGCACAGTGGGGCTGGGGGGCAGTGGTTTCAACCAAAGGCGGCAGGAAAAGGCACCCCGGGGTCGCCCCAGCTACACCAATCCCCTCTGGACCCGCTTTCATCGCCTTCCTCACCGAGTCCCTGGCAGTAAACTGTCAGGGCAGGGACTGACAGATTCCAGACCACCTAACCATTAGCTGGCGCTTGTGTCATTAGCCAAGTCGAGCAGAGAGCCCAGGAGACCTCAGATTTTCCACCAGACTGCCAGAGCTCGGGTGACACCTCAAACCCACAGGCTCACCTGAGCCAGGCAGGCTTCCCACAGCTGACTCAAAACGGGAACACGCTCACTGTACAAAGAAGACTGGCGGAAAGGGCCACGGAGGAGACAGGTGCAAGTGCTCGGTCCTCCCAGGAGCGGAGAGCTAGTGGTTTCATCCCCCGCCTCCCTGCCAGGCTCGGCATTTCTGCCGCCCCCACTCTCCACCGCTCGGCGGGTCAGCCGCCCCTGCCGGGTTACTCATCGGCCCTGGCCACTCCGTGGTCGCCTGGGCGTGGGAAGAGCCTGGAGGCGCTACGGGCAGGACCCGCGTCCAGCTCTGTCACCGCCTTGTGCCCCCGCGCTTGGGCGCTCGGAGCCCAGCCACCGCCGCGGTGAAGGGCGCTCGGCTCACTCCCCCGCGCCGCCGCACGCGCGACTGCGCCACGCCGGTGTCCTTACGGTGGGGACCCCTAAAGTTCTGTGCTTAAGTTGGAGCGTTTGGGGACAAGATCTGCGATTGTCATGAGATTCTCAGAGGGACCAGGTGTTCTGTAACGAGTCGTGTCCATTTGGAGACGCTGACCTTGAACGATAAGAGAAACCAAATCCCCAGTCTCCGTGCTCTAGCGACCTCTGCAGAACTCCAAGCAATCACTCCCATCCCCCCCCCCCGGTGTGGCCCCCTCTTTACCCAGTCCCGGCCTTGCTTGCCCTTCATTCGCCTGCCCCGCGCCCCCCAGGCCAGCCCGGGTCGGTTTTGCAGGGCTGGAAGTTGGTGGCGGGCCCCTCACCTGCTGAGGTCGCTCACAAAGCTGCCGCTCTTCTCATCCAGGAAGCGCTTCCAGCCGTCGGCCGTCTTCACCCAGCTCTGCCCAGGGGACCGCCAGTCCTGCCCGAGGAATGGCATGGCACCGCGAGCAGACGCGACCGACGGACTGGACCGACTGAAGCACGGGAACGGCCTGGCGGCCTCGGGGACGCGCCGCCCGGGGCGGATGATGGGGAGCGGGGCCGGCGACGGGGACGGTGCAGGGACTGGCGCGAAGGGCTGCGGGTCTGGGGGAACAGAGCGGGGCACCCTGCGCTCGCGGGGCGGCTGGCGCTGGGGAGGGTCGCGCGGCGCGGCTGGCTCCCTGGAGTGCTGCGCGGCTGGCTGTCCCAGCCGCAGTATTTATCCCCCGCCGCTGGCCGCAGCTCTTTGTTGCCGGAAGAGCCGCCTGCTCTTAGCCCGGCCCCCCACCCGGCCCCGAGGCCACGTGGCTTTGTTTATGGGCTCGGCTTGTTTTCCGAGGCGCCCGCGGCTCCCGCTCCTGTCCTGGTTGCACAACCGCGCGCGGGTGGAAACTTGAAGCGGCCCTGCCAGGCCGGGTCTCCCCGCGCCCGCCCGCCGGCACCGCAGCGCGCCCTCCCCGGCCCCAGGGCGCAGCTGCCGCGGCCCGAGAGAAAGGCCCCGGGCTTCTTCTGGATCACTGCGGGGCGGGCGTGCGGATGAGGGCCAGGCCCCTCCTGTCCCCGAGCTGTCGGGGTCCACCTCGAGCCAGAGCAGCCTCCGGGGACGCCGTGCTCAGCGCGGCCAGGGGCATGATAGGGGGCGCAGCCTCCCGGCCTCCGTCTCTGCCCAAACCCGGTTCTAGGGTGCCCGAGTTGGAGGGGGGCGGGGAGAAGGGACAGCCTCTCATGCCGCCCCGCCCTGGAGCTGTCATTAAGAGTCCGCAGTTAGCCTGCCTCAGGGGCGGCAAAGGAATGAGGAGAGGGGGGCCGGGGTGGCATCTGGTCCCCGCAGGGTGGGAGTGGAGAGCAGAGACGGCCCCCCAACCCACCCTGGCACCCTAGCGCCGCCAGCATCCGCCTCACCTGGCCGCGCACAGCGCCACCACCTAGCAGGGTAGGGGGCTCCCAGGCTGGTTCGTGTCCAACCCTCGCTCTAGGACGTCATGGGGCTGGGCTTTTGTTTTGAGACACCACTGTACCCTCCTCCCCTTCCCTCACTTAGGCATTCTCTCGTCTATTGAGTCCTCTCCGGGAATATCGTGCCAGGAGTTTTGTTTTCATTTTGGTGGGAGTGAAGAGGGAGAGGCTCCAGGTCGCTGCCCAGGGATGGGGACCGAAAGAACTGCGCCGAATGCGTGCGGTGCGCAGGGGTGCCCTCACTTACCTGATCCAGAGTGGGAGTTACCCTATTTCCAGAGGACGGGGCGAGGGCCCCCAGAGAGGGGTTAAGCCAGTGACATGCCCGGGGCCACAAGGCTAGTTTCTTAGTACAACCCTAGTACAATCTGAAAACACCCTGTTTGCTTTTACTTTGTTGGTGGTGCTAACAATCTACCTCTTTCTGCAGCTTGCAAACTCCAGGAGAGCTGGTCCGTCAGGTTCCAGCGGCTTTTCAGCCCTAGTCCCCTGCCAGGCCCGGAGGAGCCGTCCTTCCACAACTATTTGCTGCGTGAATAAGTGAATGGATAGGGGAGGCTGCTGGCATCCGGCGCCTTTTTGCCCTTCAGCACCTCTAGTTATGATGCTTTACGGCCTGATCCGTTGGCAATTCGTTTGCACAGGGCAGCGGCGCCAGCAGAGTAAAATCCCCGTGCTCAAGAATTAGCTTCAAACTTGATTCTTCCATATCGCCTTCTCTGCCGCCGTCAGTAGGTTCTCTGCCATTGATTCTGTAATCTTTAACACTCAGAGTAGGCAAAGAAATTGTGTGTGCCCTGCGAGGCTGCGTGTTGGACAGGGAAGAGATGTTTTTAATACATCTTGTTTTCAAGTAGCCAGGGTTTTCCGATTTAGGTTTCCCACCATAAATAATTTATTAGTGTAGTAGTAGTAAAAAATAGCTTGTAAAAACACTGTAGAAGGTCCCAAACAAATGTTAAAGCCTGTGATCATGCTAACGAGTGAGAAAATGTTGGGTTTAGTCTTTGTTGGAGAGAAATGATATCTGCAAGCAAACATAATTAAGGGATGTAATTATTAAAGACGCATACTAGTTATGTATGTGTCAGTAAGCTGCATCCCTGTAGAAACCAGAGGGCCAGAAGGTAGAAGATTTGAATTCTAATTCTGCTACAGCAGTGCCCTACTTTGGATGAATGACTTAAACTCCTGGGGCTTCATTTACTCAACTGCCAAGAAAAAAAATGGGGCCATTATTGCCTTACCTTTCAGGATTATTTAGCAACTGTGATAGATTTGTAGTATTAGTAAGAATTCTCCCTTCCTCTTTAGTAGTGTTATGCGCCCATACCTTTGCCATAGTCTGTAGGTGGGTGATGTGTGCTTTTCTGATTTTTGACATTGGGCCTGGCCATGTCATGTGCTTTGGCCAGTGGGCTGCTGGTGGATGTGCTGTGCTGTGCTGTGAGCAGAGTGTATGATGCATGTACTTGCTTGGTTGGGCTTGACCTCTTGTGTGTCTACCAGTTCCATGAAAAGAGCAAACCCTGGGTAGCCACTACTCTTAGAGTGGCTTGAGTGACATTATGTGTCCCAGGATGTGACATATGGAGCAGATTCTCCAGTTGCTCCAGGATGTATTAGCAAGTAATAAATGTTTCTTGTTGAATGCCACTGAGATTTTTGTGGTCTTTCTGTTACACAGCATTATTGTGTTGATGGTTGACTACTTCAAAGGGTTGACTGGCTGAAAGTTGATGAAAGTTTTTTAACTTCTAATATTCAAGCTCAAGTAGGAAATCACATTTTTTTTGGGTCCTTGTACTTTTGGCTAAGACTTTCAGGAAGTCTCGGTATTTGTTTCTAGTCCTTCAGCTCTCTCTCTCAAAAAACAAATTATGGCTGTTATATCTTAACTCAGTCTTCTTTTTAAAAAAATTTTTTTATTTTAGCGTATTATATGGGTACAAGTGTTAAGGTTATATATATTGCCTATTCCCCCCTTCCCCCTCGAGTAAGAGCTTCAAGCATGCCCATCCCCTAAATGTTGCACATCTTACTCGTTGTGGTTGTATATATCCATCCCTTCCTCCTCCTCCCACCCTCCCCACACCCGATAAATGTTACTCCTATATGTCCACTTAGGTGTTGATCTGTTAATACCAAATTGCTGGTGAGTACATGTGGTGCTTGTTTTTCCCTTCTTGAGATACTTCACTTAGTAGAATGGGTTCCAGCTGTATCCAGGAATATACAAGAGGTGCTATATCAATAGTGTTTCTTAAAGCTGAGTAGTATTCCATGGTATACATATACTACATTTTATTAATCCACTCATGAATTGATGGGTACCTGGGTTGTTTCCACAGCTTTGCAATTGTGAATTGCGCTGCTATAAACATTCAATTATCTCAGTCTTCTTCTGAATTATGATTGCTTTATTTATCTTATTATTTATTTATTTATTTATTTATTTATTTATTTATTTATTTATTTATTTTTGAGTCAGAGTCTCATTCTGTTGCCTGGGCTAGGGTGCCATGGTGTTAGCCTAGTTTACAGCAACTTCAAACTCCTGGGCTCAAGTGATCCTTCTGCTTCAGCCTCCCGAATAGCTGGGACTACAGGCATGAGCCACCATGCCCGGCTGATTTTTTCTATATATTTTTAGTTGTTCAGCTAATTTCTTTCTATTTTTAGTAGAGACGGGGGTCTCACTCTTGCTCAGGCTGGTCTTGAGCTCAAACAATCCACCCACCTCGGCCTCTCAGAGTGGATTGACTGTTTTAGATTTCTCACACTGTAAAAAAAAAAAATCTAACTTGACAATTCTTTAAGTACATGGTTTCTACTAGGAGGCCTTGTAATGCCGAGTCCCTCAAGATAAAGAATGTGGCAGGCTGTGTCCAGAGCAGTTACCTTCACTTCAGATGCTGGCTTGACTTTGCAAAAACTCTGTTATTTGGAGCCTTTTCAAAGCAGAGCATTTGAGAATCACCAAAGGCAAAGTATTAGTGTTACAGCTTCAGGCTGAAGATAATAGAGACAGATGGATACTCAGAGAATCTCACAAGGCACAGACTGGCTAGGACCCAGTAGGCCTAATGGTTTCAGCAGTGCATACAATGTGAGTACCATGGCTTGTGCATTCCATTGTGTGGGCACTTAGCTCTGCCCCTCCTGCACAGCTTGGTACAACAGATTGCCCAGATTGCATGCTGGGCATTTGATTTTTCATGTGTGCTTCTTCCCCATGGGGCTGTGAGCTCCTTGATGGTAGGGCTATGTCTTAGTGGTTGAGTACCACAGTGTCTAGTCCAGTGCTTGGTACGTGGCAGGCAATCAATAAATCAACAACTGTTGAACTGACCTAGAAGACTATTATTCTCACATCTTCACCTACTGACACCTTGTCACTTCATTGACACAGCAGGGTGTGGAGAAGGGAGGGCTAGGTGCCTCTGGTGCATTCTGTGTTGCATTCTCTCATAGTGGTACCTTACCAGTGGGTGAGGCAAATAGAGATGGTGATCAAAAGGTGTCATCTTAGAAAAAAAGTTTTAATGTACTATTCTACTGATAGTTCTGTGCTGAAGACATGGTGCCAGGCACTTTGCAAGCAATCTTGTTTAATACTCCTCACAAATGTGTGAGCTAGAAATTATTATTTCCTATTTGTGATCATGGTATCTCCCCTGCCAGGTAAGTATGTTATTCCTATTTGATAGATGAGGAAACTTAGGCTCAGAAAAGTTAGTCTGCCTGAAATCACCCAGCAAGTATGTGGTAGAACTCAAACTGGCACCCAAGTCCATCTATAACGCTGACTTGAACCAAATTGACTAGGTTCAAATCATGGCTCCCTACTTAAAAAGCAATGTGAGGCCGGGCGCTGTGGCTCACGCCTGTAATCCTAGCTCTTGGGAGGCCGAGGCGGGCGGATTGCTCAAGGTCAGGAGTTCAAAACCAGCCTGAGCAAGAGCGAGACCCCGTCTCTACTATAAACAGAAAGAAATTAATTGGCCAACTGATATATATATAAAAAATTAGCCGGGCATGGTGGCACATGCCTGTAGTCCCAGCTACTCGGGAGGCTGAGGCAGAAGGATCACTCGAGCCCAGGAGTTTGAGGTTGCTGTGAGCTAGGCTGACGCCACGGCACTCACTCTAGCCTGGACAACAAAGTGAGACTCTGTCTCAAAAAAAAAAAAAAAAAAAAAAAAAAAAAAAAAAGCAATGTGATCTTGGACAAGTCACTTAACC